GAGAGACATGATCTAAATGCATGTCCACTGTGAGAGACATGATCTAACAAAAAAAAATCTGGAAATCACAATGTATGATTTTTAAAATAATTTATTTGTGTGGTTCTGCTGAAAATAAGTATTTGAACACCTGCCAATCAGCAACAGTTCTGGCCCTCAAAGACCTGTTAGTCCACCTCCACTCCACTGATTATTCTAAATTAGAAGCACCTGTTTGAGGTTGTTAGCTGCATAAAGACACCTGTCCACCCCACACCATCAGTAAGACTCCAACTACTAACATGGCTAAGACCAAAGAGCTGTCCAAAGACACCAGAGACAAAATCGTAGACCTCTACAAGGCTGGAAAGGGCTTCGGGGCAATTGTCAAGCAGCTTGGTGAAAAAAGATCAACTGTTGGAGCAATTATTAGAAAATGGAAGAAGCTAAACATGACTGTCAATCTCCCTCGGACTGGGGCTCCTCGTGGTGTATCAATGATCCTAAGAAAGGTGAGGAATCAGTAGTGATGGCCAAATGAAGCAATAAAGCAGTATTGAACCACTTTGCCAATTGTATTGAACTTGGGTTCATTCATTCAAAGGTTCATTTCAGTGACATCTAGTGGTGAAATATAGTATGTATTTAAATATAGGGTCCGTGTGCGCTCCCCCAGAAAAATTGGAATAAAAGAGATGCCATTTCCTGCATTTTGGTGTATTTTAACAGGTTGTTAAACATTTGAATAAACTGGTTAAAAAGAGGTCTCTCTTGACGAGGCTCAAGGCTAAACCTGTATAAATAAAGGTTGAATTGAAATTACTATTTTAGAGAGCAACAATTAACAAGCCTGTGTATGAATGCAAGTCCTTGACAGTCTTGTCAGGTGTCCTAACGCCCCCCCCCACACACACACACACAGCCGACCTGAACTCTTCTCAGCTGAATTCAGTCCTGTGTGTTCTGCTCCAATTTCACTGCCATCCATCCATTTATTTTAGATAAATCGTCTTTTCAACATTTTGGTAAGCTTATTTATTATGTCTGAAATGTTATGCACTGTAATGTATGCAGGAGTTCCGACAGCAGTTGTGTTTGCGTCCTGCAGAGTTGTCTGGAGACGCTGTGCGTAAAACACCTGGCTCAGGGCGCACAGCTGGAGGATGAAGACGCTCCCTGCAGGACATGCAGTCCGTGTCTCTGCTGGCAGGAGCGTGGCGCGGACAGAACATCCACTCGTTGTACTTTTAATAAATAATCAAAATAAACATGCTCAATGACTTTGGACTTTTAGGGGCGGAGTTGGCGGATCTGAGCGGTCAAAATTATAGAGTTCCAGGATCTTGTTCTGACAGGATCCGACTCAAATGAACCACTGTCTGAATATAAAAAACAAGAGCTGTTTGTAACGTATAATACGTGAAGAACGGGGATGTGAACCGGGGCTTGAGCATCTTAAATACACTGAATCGCGCCAAATGATTGAAACTCCGCCTGTCAACTCGAAGCAGTCAGCTGACTCGGTCTGAATGAAGCAGTGGAGTGGTTCACACGTCATCGGTGACGTCACATGAAGCGAGCTCCGGCCCACTGCTTCTGCATAACTACCCTATCGAGTTTGAAGCGTGCTTTGAAGCTTCGGTGTTAGAGGTAACATCAATACATGGCACAGAAGGTTCCCCTCTTTAAATCAGAACACGTCCAGGCCCGTCTTAAGTTTGACCATGACCATTTGGATGATCCAGAGGAGTCATGGGAGAAAGTTATGTGGTCAGATGAGACCAAAATAAAACTTTTTGGTCTTAATTCCACTCGCCTCAATTAGAGCATTGAAGATGAGTCGTGGCTGGGTCTTCCAACATGACAATGACCCGAAGCTCACAGCCAGGAGAACCAAGGAGTGGCTCCGTAAGAAGCGTATCAAGGATCTGGAGTGAACTAGCCAGTCTCCAGACCTGAACCCTATTGACAGTCTTTGAAGGGAGCTCAAACTCTGTGTTTCTCAGCGACAGCCCAGAAACCTGGCTGATCTGAAGATCTGTGGAGGAATGGACCAAACTCTGCTGCAGTGTGAGCACACCTGGTGACAAACTACAGGAAACCTTTGACCTCTAATTACAAAGATACTGTACCAAATATTAACATTGATGTTCACAGGTGTTCAAATATTTGCAGCAGTAACACACAAATAAATTATTTAAAAAAAATCATACATTGTGATTTCCAGATTTTTTATTTTATTTATTTTTTTAGTTTATGTCTCTCACAGTGGACATGCACCTAAGATGAACATTTCAGACCCCTCCATGATTTCTAACTGGGAGAACTTGCAAAGCCGCAGGGTGTTCAATACTTTATTTTCCTCACTGTGCGTTTTGGTGTAGTCGTAGTCAACACCAGCTCTGCTGCTCGCTGGTCGAGATGCTTGCTTTAAACATCAGCATTTGTTTTTTGGAATGCTTGTCTGTTAGCAAAATATTTAATAAAATCCTGGATGGATTTTAATTAAACTTTCACAAAGCAACAGTTGCATATACATCTACATCTGATAACATTTCGGAGTCGGTTCACTTCTAGATGACCACCGCAGCTAAACAAACGAGGCTAACACGATAACGGCGATGACTCGGTCAGTTTTAGAGATGGTGAAATAAAACTGGATGTTTAAGTAGCTGAGAGTCTTTTTTTTAAACATATTTTGTAATTTCATGTGGAATTGTGCAGATCATTATTTTTAAGGTTTGTCTAAAAGAGCTTTGACTTTGTCACTTTCTAACAAAATGATCTTTGTTGAAAACCCGCGGGTGATATGCATTTCTTCCAACTTCATTGTTTACCTCCATTTCTGTGTTGGAGCGCCCTCGCGCGTTCACAGACGGTAATGCAGGAAGTTTGATTCCTGCAAGTTGTGCACAGCAAAGTAGCTAATGTTAGCTTCTCGCTAAAGAAACTCACTTAGGATGTTAAGACTAGCATGGAGCTACTCCGCGTCTAAGACCCGCTTTGTGGCGACAACACGATCTTTACCTGCAGCTTGTTTGGAAGCAGACAGTCCGAGTCCCACCAGGTGCTTCAGGCGGATTCCCCTCCCACCAAGCGACAGGTCACCGCTCCTCCAGCCCCAGCCGGCCTGCTACCTCAGGTAAAGCCACCTCGGCTAAAAGCTAAAGGCTAGCTTGTTGTTGACACACCTGAGCTAGCTGCGCAGTTAGTGCTGGGTGCGCGTTCACCGCACATTTTGCACGTGGCTCGTCAGCGATGATGAAATGACGCCAAACTCCATAGAGAAACATGCGTTTTTAAACATTCCTAGAATTAAATACAACTGAGGGTGACGCACCAGTGCTCACAGGCTTTTGTCCAAAGTGGAAATATAATGCGCTTAGTTCGGCATAGTCAACACACGCTACTAAACGAACATTGTTTCTAATATTCTGTAACTTTTCTCACCGATCGCCACCATTCCTGTACGCGCGTGCATCAGCCTCCAGGTTGTTTACATGTCATTAAATGCAGCAGTGTGCTCGTGTTTTGTCTTTTTTTTTCAGCCGAATATTCCCAAAACGTTTATTTTTTTCATAAAACTTAGACTTGTTTTAAGGGGCACGAGTTTTAGTCTGTTATTCAGGATTATATTAAATAAGCAGAAATGTTAATAGGATTCGGCAAGTCATAAAACCACTTCTATGACAGCTGTAGAAGACTGCAGTCAAAACTGAATGGCTGTTAATTATTGGATAACTTATTAAAGCTATTAATAAATCAAATTTAATCTAATGCACGAGACTTATTATGTTTAAGGATTAATAACCTATAGATTCATGCTGTAGAGCAGATTGCCTATTTCCCTACTAAATACAGTTTGTTCACAACTGGGAAAAGTGCTTGAAGCTTCAGCTACAAATAACATCTCATTTTTCCAAAATACTACAGAATTGCTTTTCCTTATCTAAAAAAATTAATATCACGAATTGATGATTCCTAATGGTATTTTTAAATGCTAGTACAAAGAGAAAGATGAATGTTTTAAGAATTGTAACACCTATGCAGGGCTACGTAAGTCCTTTTTTATTTGTAGGAAATAGGTAAATAGATATAAACCTCTAACTGTATGATATATTAGTGTGATCATAAAAATATAATGACATACATAATTTATTCTAATAAAAGCAGAAACCATAATTTCCTTAAACGTTTACTGTGTGAGTGCTGATAGTGTTCACGCTGGTTTTGAAATCAAAACTTCCACATAATTTATGCAAATTTAGCAACTGTCATAGATATTTCAGGAGATGAGCGCTATGATTTTGTAACTTTTATACTTTTCAAATTATTTAACCTTATTTACAAAGATTTTTCCTGCAGGAATACGCTACGATCTTTCACAAACGGGGTTCAGATGTTTCCTCTGTTTTTGTTATCTTAAACCTACTTTTAGTTTTTAGCTGCTACTTCTTTTTTTTTATCTGTTCCCTTCTTCAGGGGTCACCACAGCGAACTAACTCACACAAAGACTTGTCAATTGTTTTTACGCCGGATGTCCTTCCTGACACAACCACAGACCACCGAGCTACCACAGCCCTTGAGCAAGGGCCAATGTGAGGCAAATGAGGGTGGAGGCAGGTGTGGGTGTTTCATCTTTCCCACCCACATTTTTATGTTGTCGGTCCAGGGAGTTGACCCGGCGATCACAGGCCTACTCTCTAACCTCAGCTTTTAGCAACTAATTTGCTATATTTAGTTATCATTTTGCTACTTTTGGCTATTAGCTAATATTTTCGTTTAGCTAACATTCTTGTTTTAGCTTTAACAACTCAGTTTGACGTTTTCAGTTACTGAATTTCAATAGTAGGCAGAATGTGCAGAGGTGTAATAAAGACAGAAGAGTGAAGTTGCCGGACTCTCGGGGGTTGTCGGGATGTGCAGCAGAACTGCTGGCATAGCTCTACAGAACCTCACTGACCTACACAGTGAACAAGGCCAGACTGATTCTGGCAGATCCTGATCACCCACTCCATGGTGAGTTCAGGTTGCTTCCATCTGGACGTAAGTATTTGCTGCCCAGATGTAGAACAGACTGAAAAACTCATTCGTCCCTGTAGTGGTCAGGCTTCTCAATGAACACTAATTGTCTAGTATGGATATTTTATGTGACTGTGAAACAAATTGCCCCTTGGGGCTAATAAAGATTCTTGAACTTGACATGGTGCAGAAGTGAGGTAACCGTCAGTGAGCAGCAGGATGGTTTCATGCAGAGAAAGCTCTATAGGTGAGATGTTTGTGTTGATGAACAAGTATAGAGAATACGTTGGTAGATGGGTAAGAGGATCAGAGAGGATGTTCATGGATGTAGTGAAGGAGAGGAGGAGACTGTGATTAACACAACAGCAGCATTGGAGATTATTTCAGTTGTAAAGATCAACTTTTAGGGCGATAAATGGGAATCTAAATGAAGATTTCTCCACTTTGTTTTTCATTCAGACTGGATTTTAGGAATGTATTTTCTTTGTTGTGTATCCAGTGCATCAGTCTGTCGGAGCATGGCGACAGGGGGTGAGCAGCCATCATCCAGTCATCATAAACACACCAACAGGTTGGCCAAGGAGAGGTCACCCTACCTGTTACAGCATGCACACAATCCTGTTGACTGGTGAGTTATTTGAAACTCCAGATTTATACACGCCCTCAAAACTAGTTGGAGTAAGAATTTATGAGTTTATCATTTGATTGGTTTTGTTTCCAGGTATCCGTGGGGACAGGAAGCTTTTGAGAAGGCGAAAACTGAAGACAAACCAGTTTTTTTATCAGGTACAAAGGTGGATTTCTTTCATTTTTAGGTCGTTTTCACACCAGATAGTCCGGTAGACTCGGTTCGGTTCAGGACCAATATTCATGACCTTTTGTTTACATTTGAGCTGGTGCGTTTGCATTCACACTGCACTGTGCAGTCGAGTCAACCTGTTGAACCAACCTGTTCCCCCAC